TGTCCCACAGGTTCCAGAAGCTTGTATTTTCATTTTCCTTGACTTCCAGGAACCTTTTAATTTCCTCTTTTATTTCATCAATGACCCACTGTTCATTAAGCAATGAGTTATTCAGTTTCCAGCTGTTTGCATGTTTTTTGTCTTTATTTTTGTTGAGTTCTAGTTTTATTGCATTGTGATCTGATATGATGCATGGTATTACTTCTATTTTCTTATATTTGCTGAGGCTTGCTTTGTGCCCTAGGATATGATCTATTTTGGAGAAGGTTCCATGGGCTGCTGAGAAGAATGTATATTGTGTAGAAGTTGGATGAAATGTTCTGTAGATATCAACTAGGTCAATATGATCTGTGGTATGTTTTAGATCTTGGATTTCTTTCTTTATTTTTTGTTTGGATGACCTATTTATTGATGATAGTGGGGTGCTAAAGTCTCCCACAACCACTGTGTTGGAGTTAATGTATGCTTTTAGGCTCCTTCAGGGTATGTTTGATGAAATTGGGTGCGTTGACATTAGGTGCATATAGGTTGATAATTGTTATTTTTTGGTCTGTTTCCCCTTTTATTATTATGGTGTTTATACAGTGCTTCTATTGTTTCTTTTATTTGTTCTTTTTCTTTCTCAAATTCTCTATTTTTGTTGTCTTGGAATTTCTTGAGTGTCTCCTGTACATTTTGGTTGACCATATCCAGTATCATCTCTATAAAATTCTCATTGATTACTTGCAGGATTTCTTCTTTCAGGTTGTTCTTGTCGGCTTCATTGGGTTCTTTGGTATAGTTTATGTTTTATTTGTTGGAGTCTGGATCTGGGTATCTGATTTCTTCATTTCCCTCTGGTTCCTGTACTAATTTCTTATTGGGAAGAAAATGGTTTTCCTCTTTTTTCCATCTTCCCATCATTGTCCTTGCTATTGTTACTTTCCCTGTACTGTGTGTAATTCAGTATTGTCTAGCTTGTAATAATAATAGTGGTGATATCTAGAATGGAAGGGTGAGAAGATAGGGGAAGCAAAGAAGGTAAGGAAACAGGAAAAAAACAAAACTAACAAAGAAACAAGCAAAAAAATTACCAAACAAACAAGCAAAAAAACAGAGCCAAACAAATAAACAGGGATAGTGTACTAATGAACAGTGAGCTAAACAGGCATTAGACACACAGAGAGAGGAAAATAGTAATAATAATAATAATAATAATAATAATAATAAACCCAAGTTCAAATGCAATAAAGTTTCAGTTTTAATAATTTTGGTGTTAGCCCTTCAGCCTCCAGTCCTGAAGACTTCTCAGTGTCTGTGAAGTAGTTCTGTCATTTTTCATCAAAGGGGAAAAAAAAAAATCCGAAGTTCAAATGCAATACAGTCAGTTAGTCCTTCAGCATTCAGTGTTGTTGTCTCATCAAAGGAAGAGAAAAACAAAAAAAAGAAAGGGAGTCTGGAGACAGTTTTGTGAATGTCTATCTGAGGCTGCAGCTCACCTGCCTCCTACTGTCAGCCATCTGCTGCTGCCACCTTTGTTTATTTAGAGTTCTCCTGAATGCATTTCCCTTTTGTTTTCTCCAATATACAGCCCTACGTGCCTTTTGCAATTGCCATCTTTTTTTTTTTTTTTTAATTTACAGTTTCCATGGAGAAGTGCCCCTTCCCCCGCCTCCACTGGAGCTTTCCTCACTGACAGCCACAGTTACAAGCTTTCCCCTCTCCAAGTTGCTGGTGGTGCCACCACTCCTGCCTTCTCTGGCTGGCTTGTTTATTTACAGTTTGCCTGAGGGATTGCCCCTTCCCCACTCTCAGGAGCTTAGGGCACCCTGCCCTCTTTGCTACATGTATCATTTTTTTTTTTATTCCTCTGCTTGTTTATGATTCAGTTTGGTTTTTTCTCTTTTTTTCCCCTGGGTGGGGGTCAGTCTGTCTAGGGGGCTATGCTGATCTGGCCCAGGGTTGTCTGTGGGAGTACCACATGCCACTTAGCTCACCTGGTGGTCTGCATCTTCCCAAGCAGTCTGGGAGCTGACGTCTGGCGGCAAGGGAGACCTCCTAGTTTCTCCATTTAACATGGAGTGGGAATGCTATGTGCAGGCTAGGGGTGTGGAGGTGTCAGAGTTTTGCTTCTTCTTGGTGGTTTTTCCTGCAGGGTGTATCTCCAGTGTCTCTCCAAGATTTTACTTTAAGAAGCATGCTTTCTGCTTCCTCCCTCTAGTCGCCATCTTGGAATCTCTTGGAATCAGCTTTCTTGGCTTTGTTAAATCACCTACTGCTTTTCCTGTTTCCTAGGCTTTCTTTTGCTATTATATACCTTCTTGATTTCTTTGATATCATAGGTTTTTGTCTTTAGTCCATTTTCCATTTATTATAGTGAAATTCCTTAAGTAGAATGCTTTATAATCTGCCTTTTTCACCAAACATTATATTTTATCATTCTTTCTTGTCAATAAATATACTTCAGTATTAACAATTTAAGGGCTATGTCGGAATCTCATTTTAGAGATATAAGTTAATATTCTGTTTTGGTAAATATGCATTGTTATAAGTAATACTGCAAAGAACATTCTTCTAGCTAAGTTTTATAACACTCTTTAAACGAATTTATAATGTGTCAAAATCATGAATCTTTCTTAAATTGTTTCTTATGAAAAGGCCCATTATTTCCTACCATATGAAGATGTTACTTTAGACTGTTCAAAGCAAACATTTCACTTAACAACTTTCCCTAGAAGATTAAAATTCTGTGCATGTTTTGTTAACCATTTATCAAATATGTTGAGTGTCTACCATGTTTCAGACACAACGTGGATCAGAAACATGGTAGATAACCAATACATATTTGATGACTGGACAGCTGCATAATAAGTGAATATTGACTTCATTTTAAAACTTCAAAGAAAAAGAGTCTGATATGAAGGGAAGCAGGATGCAGTAAGTTTCATATCCACTTTGTCCCTTGAGATAACCCAGGCCACCAATTTAGTAAGATTGAGAACCAGATTTACAGAGAAGGAACTTTCTGTGACAGATGATATATGGACATACCCACACACACTGCACTTGACAGCAAGCAGTGCTGCACTCTCCGTGAGCAAATTTGTAAAGCAAATGGCCTGTAAGACTCAACTGTGGACGGCGCAGGATTCTGCATAGAGCAAGCAGATGCTCACTGTGATTGACTTGCCATTTCTAGACCAAGTTCACAGAAACTGCTTGAGAAAGTTGGATACACATCTTACATAAATTAAAAAAATCTAATGAAATATTAGTTAATTATGATTAAAGGGGAAATGCTTATAAATTGATGTTTGATTTTATTGAGTTTCACTTCAACTATTGTCAAAGAATTTGACTAGCTTAGCATATAGAAAGTCAGGAAAAGTTATCATAGATATTTTTCCTAAATTCATCATTTTTTGATGTAACCAAGGCCTAGAGGCATTCACTTGTGGCTTAAAAAATAACAAATGCACATGCACATACCTATTGTGTATATTGCATTTCTGACAACTAACTTCAGTTTTTTTTTCACCCAACCATCTTTAGGTGATTTTTTTGAAATTTGGTTTAATTATAATCCAGCTAAATGTGTCACAAGAGTGATTTTTAAAATGAACATTGGTCAAAGTACTAACATATGCAGTAACATGGCATATATAAGAGCTCTTACACAATGCCTAAAATAGAGTAGGTATCAATTAATGTCTCTCCTCTTCTAGGTAACAGGTACACACTAAGCTCTTGACATCAACATGTAGGAGCATATAATTATCTCCATTTTAAGGATAAGAATATGAGGTGCAAGGAGGGTAAAATAAGTCCTTTCTGGGGGGTTGATACCAGTGGGAGTGGGGAGGAGGTGGGTAAATGATGAAGGAGAGTGAATATGGTGCTAATACTGTGTACACATGTATGTAAGTAGAAAAATGATACTTGTTGAAACTATTCCAGGAATCGGGTAGGGGACATAAAGGAGAATGATGGAGGGGGTGAATTCAAATATGATATATTGTAAGAACTTTTGTAAATGCCACAAAGTACCCTTACCCAGCACAATAAAAAATTTAAAAAAAAGAAAATGAGGTGCAAGAAGATTATAAAGTTATCCAAGGACAACCAAGTAGTAAAGAGTAAATTCTGTTGTTGAACCAAGATTATCTGTCTCTAAGAAGTCATGTCTGCTGCAGCATAGGCCATCAAAGATGGTAGAACTATCTCTGAAATAATTGGTAGGCACTTTTGCATATAAAAGCTGATGGGGAAGATGTATCTATTGAAATTCATTTTGATTCTTAAGTTTTCTGTCTTCCTAACTAGATTAAATATTTCAAATAACTTCTTTAACATTTCTTAAATAGAGAAATCTTGCAATATGGTAGAAAGACAATTTTAGGCTTCCAGTAATCTAGATTTAAAATACTGGTTTCATGCTTTCATTGACAGTGCAGATTACTTAAACTTTGCATGTTTATTTTCTCATCTGAAAATGGAAGTGATTATATTTATATATGTAAGTTATATATACAAATATATTTATACCTAATATTAATATACAGAGTAATATCCTTTTTGTTTGTTTGTTTGTTTGGGGACAGGGTCTTTCCATGTAGCTCAGGCTAGCCTGAAAACTTACTGTGTAGCCTACACTGACCTTGAACATGCGATCCTCCTGCTCCTACCTTCCAAGTGCTGGGATTACATTCATGTGCCACCACACCCAGCTACAAAATAATCTTTATAATAGTGTTTCATTGAATTCTTTGTACTCAAATATAATTGTTCTAATTTAATGTATTGCATATAATCCTAAAAGTATTATGGGTATTTCTTTATTCTATATGTGATATGTACTCTATAGAAAGTATAGTTTTTATCAAAAACATCAAAATATCTACTTTCTGCTTAAATTTTTAAGTGTTCTGAATACTTTTTTCATTTAATCTCATATCAGTCTTAGGACAGAGGACTGTCATGGGCTATTCTACAGATGTTTAATTCTCACTCTTTCTTTTCAGTGAAGTTCCTCGATAACATGCTTTTGCGAAGTTCAGGAAAGTTAAGTGTGGGCACCAAAAAAGAGGATGGTGAGAGTACAGCCCCCACCCCTCGTCCCAAGATCTTGCGTTGTAAGTGTCACCACCATTGTCCAGAAGACTCGGTCAACAATATTTGCAGGTTGGTGACATAAATGATTGAAATGTAGCTTTAACAAAAGGTCTCAATGTTTTGATCATCAGCTAGTTTTTCCAAGAGTACATTTTGGAGAATAGTGCCTAACTCCATTAACTCTTAGAGTTATGCTGTATTTAGAAAAATACAGAAGGGTTTTGCTCTGAAATAGTGTTCTAAGATGTCCTCCTTCTTCCAAGCAGCACACATGCCCCTAATCACAGAACATGGATCCCGAAAACAAATCCAACAAACAAAACCAATTATTTCTTTCTAAAGGTCTGCTCCCCACAATCAGTTCAACAGTAGTGGATGGGACATGTGTGCAATGTTTTATGTTTTAATTGTTCTTTGTATTGATGGTGTTAAGGTTTGGAAGGAATTCTTAAGCTGTTGATATTATTAATAGATTGACTCTGGGAAGCAATTTTGTGATGGAGCTTTTGTGAATCTACCAGATGTTAGCAAAGACATTGTCAAAGTACTTGAAAATAAACTTTCAAGTTGTCAGTCATGCTTTTGTAGATGCTTTATAACATTTGACAGTGAACTATCTGCATTTTTCTTTCTTGCACATCTTTATTCAGCCACATCCATTTTGTTGATCACAGTAGCTGCATTCACTCCCCAGATTGAGGACAACACTGGATAAAGAGCCATTGCCTCATGAGGCCAGAGCTTGCTGAGAGAAAAGTAGAGAAGTTACCCACAGAAGTGTGGCTCTTGGGAGTTAAAGTACCAGAGAAGCAGAGTGTGTTTCAAGAGTGGTCACAGACTCACGAGGGAAATAGATGGCTATGTTGAGTCCAGGCAGAATATCTGGCCAACCATGTGGGGCTTTTTGAGCCAGGAGGGTACATGAAGCTGATTTGAGTGTTTTGGGGTTTCTCCTTCTCCTCCTCCTCCTCCTGTCCTCTCCTCTCTTCCCCTTCCTCCCTCCCTCCTCCCCCTCCCCCTTCCTTCTCCTTCCTTCTCCTTCTTTCTTCCTTCCTTCCTTCCTTCGTTCCTTCGTTCGTTCGTTTGTTCGTTCCTTCCTTCCTTCCTCCTCCTCCTCCTCCTCCTCCTCCTCCTTATTATTATTTTCTTTCTTTCTTTTTTCTTCTCTCTAATAAGTTTTCTGCTGTGGTGCAGAATGTACTTCAAAGTTACAAAATCCAAAATGCTCTAAAATCTGAAACTTTGAACATGGATGTGATGCCACAAGTAGAAAATTCCATACCTGATGTCATATGATGGGTCACAGTCAGAATGCAGGCATACTAAAAATATTGTATAATACTGTGTTGTGGCCATGTGCAAAGGTGTGTATGAGACATAAATGAATTTCATATTTAGATTTAGGTTTCATCCCCAAGACATTTCATTGTGAATATGTAAGTAATCCAACATCTGAAAAATTCTGAAATTTGAAATATTTCTGTTCACAAGTATTTAAGATAGGGCTTCTTAACCTGGATAAGTTTACTGTTATATCCTGAGAGCCTAGTATATTTCGCATAAGAAATCATATTAACTGGCTAACGCAAGGAGAAAAGATTGGTGTATTCAAAAATACGTATCTCATTTAATCAGCAGAACAACTGAGCCTTGTAGGGAATTCTTATTGTCACATTAGACATAGGGAATTTGGGATCTAGAGAGATCTAGTAATTTGATCCTTTAATGGTGAGATCACTGAATTTTGTGGTAAGGTAAAATGATTCAAACTCAGTTTTTTCTCTGAGAAATAGTGCCTGTTTACAGTAAATAGAAAGTATCAGGAAAATTAAGCTGAAAAATGTCAGATCCAATGAGCAGTTTAGAGTTATTTAATGTAGTAGGGATTGAAGTCAGATTGAGAAGGGCTTTGAATTGTATGGGTATCAACCTTTGATTCATGATAGCACAGGAAAACAGAAAGGAAAACCACAGCAATAACAATGGAATCCCTTCAGTGAACGTGGGTTATACCATTGCAGTCATTATAGATGGGTTAATTTGTAGAAGTCAATAGAAAACTAATTTCTGAAACTTTTATAAATATTAGCATGTTTACTTTCACCTGTCTTTAATCATCACAGCAGTCCTGTAAGGAATGTAGGAAGCAGGGTATGGTGGTTCACAACTGTAATCCTAGGTACTTGGGAGGGTTGCAGCTAGAGACCAGCCCAGGCAAATAGTTCCTGAAACCCATCTCCAAAAATAATCAGAGCAAAATGGACTGGAGGTGTGGCTCAGGGGGTAGAGCACCTGCTTTGTGAGCACTTGCTTTGTATTACAAAGCCCTGTATTCAATCCCTAGTACCTCCCCTCAAAAGTAGTATTATCTATTTTTTTTGTAGGTCAGAAATCAGAGGTTCTACAAGATTTAAGTAATTCTCAGTAGGTATGATGATACAATGAAAAAATTGTGGCCAAGACTGGAGAGTTATGAGTTCTTGGCCAGCCACCCTAACACTGGTTCCAGAGGAGAGAACATTCACTCTTACGTAAAACGCACATGTATTTTGCTAATGAGATATTGACCCCAGTTGAGTCTTCTCCTGTGCAAATCACAGGGACTATTTTTGTTCTTTTGTCCTAAGACTTGGAATAAACCCAAGACTTTCTTCCTCCATTTCTGTAAGCCACACTCTACTCTTAGCCCTCCAAAGCAATACTTCTCAAGCTCTCTCTGCTGAGAGATAGCCCTGCATAAGTTGTTCATGGATACATTTCTAAAGTATAGTAAGCATGAATTATTAATTATTACTTCTTTCTATTTTTCTATCATTTGATTTCAACAGACATGAGTTTATTGCCTCGAATTGCTCTTCACGTTTCAATTTCTGTATTGTCCTCTTCACAGACCGGTAATAAGCAGTTTGCTATCCTGCAGGAGAACACACCTTGAGTAATGCTGCACTAAATCTTACACACATAGGTAAAACAGTTTAAGGACAAGGGTTTATTTTCTTATGCCTTAGATAAGGGCTGGTCTAAGTTGTCTGGCCTGAGGCAGATCATAGTCAGTCTGAGTGTTCAAGGTAGTTTCATGTTTATTACTAGTTTTACCTTCCTAGAGAGAATAATCCTAAAGAGAGACAAGAATCCTGACTACTTTATACTTTAAAGCAATTGGGAAATCCCCCATGATAATTCAGAGAACACAGGTGCAGTTTAGAGGTTTGCAAATTCTTCATTAGTACTATCAGTTCCTACACAAGCCAACACCAAGGCCAAAGTAATTCTTGACTTGATCTCTAATGGGCGCAGAAATACCCGTGCCATTTCCATTGCTCCTGGCATGCATGTTGGAGAATGTGGTACAAATATATTGTGACCATATGCAGTATTATAGCCTTTTCATATCTGTAATCCAAAGTAGGGGGTAAAGTTCCTTTCTCACTCAAGACAATGTCTATCTTCCAAATGTTTCCAGTTGTCACATCACCTTGTATCTTTCTATTTCCTGATTCTGTTACTAGGACTGGGACTGTCACTGCATGCCTTAAGCTGCAAAGTCTTAAATAACTGTTCTTATGTGATTTTCACCATGCAAATGATCTGTGTCATTTTCTTGTCCTAGCAAGTGTTATCTCAGCTTTATTTGTGCTCTTATCTCATACAATTTAGTCTGGCTGTGTATACTCTTCCTGGTCTCACTTCTTGTGGCGTGTGATAGTGACTTTTGTCCTTATCTCACTACCTTTCCCTAGCTTATCCACTTCTTCTTGCATGTATATCCATTTCTAAACTTAGTTTTAATTATTTTTTAAAGATAATTTTAATGCTTACATTATTGGGTAGTGACCAATAATTCTCCTGTTTGGGCAGTTTCCAGAGGTAACATGTGTGATAATTTACATGGTATGTTTGCATAAAGGATGTATAAATGACACCAGGATGCCTAAATGAGAAATTAGATAAGGCTCCAGCTGTTTAGCTGAATAGTTACAGGGAAAAGGAAAAGCTTAAGGACTGTGAGTCTTTTTATATATTGCAGTTAACCCAGGCCTTTTTAAACCTCTTGCTGAGTGCAATGGTATGAGTTTTCAGGCTCGTGATCCTAATCTGAAGCCTCTGAGGATTTAAAGTGTGTGTGTGTGTGTGTGTGTCCTTACTTTGCATGCTGAACGTCACTAGGCCATCTAAACATTGAGTTTTATGACTCTTTCGCTCCCATAGATGTTGGTTTCAAACCATTGCACCAGGGAGAATGGGGGGGGGCCTTCATTTGGACTTGAATTTAGTTCTAAGAATCTGTGATTTCAAATTCACTAATGGAGGCTTGTATAAAGAATAGTTCTCTTTTTGTTTTCTCATCAGAAATGAGAATATTAAATGGGTCCAGTTTGTTGTTGGACTTAATCAAAAGAAGTGAATAGGGTAAGGCTCTTTAAAATTGTTCAAGTTACACTGTACACGTGTATGGAATTATTAAAAAATACCCTCTTATTAATGTATGATAAATCAGAAATAAAACAATAAAAAGTAAAAAAATATACATAAAGAGTCACTAACGATTGTTGAGCATAGAAAGAAAATGTGAGATCTCTCAGGCAATACTCTACACAATGGGCTCAGGTAAAGAGAGGATGGGGACTCTTTCTAGAAGGCTCTCAGAGATACTGAGAGCAGGGTGATGGGGGGTGAAGATACATGAAGGTTTGATGAATGTAAAAACCCAAGACAAGTTAAAAAATCTTACACCTCATGGAAAAAGAACACAGTGCTATTTGTATGGGTGCTAGAGGAGGATGTATGCTAGTTACATGTTCTTGAAGACTGAATTCAAAGGCACGTCTCACACTGGGACTTTGTCAGTAGCATAAGTTTATCTTGCTTCAATATAGTGACCCCTCAGAGGAAAACCAGGGAAGGGCACAGTAGAGTCACATATATTTTATTATATTTCTTTCCAACACTGGGAATCCATGTAAGATGTTAAGGAAAGAAAACAAAACCCCAAAACCTTAGAGTTCTACTGCTCATTTTTCTTTGCTTATTTCTCAATCAGTAAAAAACACTTAGGTGGCTTACGATTTCTGTTCCTACTGTAAGAACACTTAAGTGTTTTTTTTGAAGTTGAATGATTTTTCACTCTTCTAGAATTGGAGATCTTTATGGACTATGATCTTCTTAAACAGCATGGCTGCATCTTCCTCACCCTGGCCTTCTCAGCACCCAACTCTACCTGAGTCATAATATGCTCAATAAATGCAGAGTGAACCCCTGTTAACAAAGCTGCCTGTTGCTTTCAGCTGTTAAGTTAAATGATTAAAATCGAACTGATTATGTGTATCTTTAGTTTACCAATTACTGAAAATTTTGAAAACTTTGCTCCCCTAAATGGTAAGTGTTTTAGAAGACAGGGTGCTCTCAGCATTTGTTTACTTACAGATGACCTAAAGTCAATCAGCCTTTTAATATCCTTTCTGACTGACTCTTAAATTCAAAAGAAATTTAAGAATTCTAGTATTTCCCACATCCAAAAAGAAAAAAAAAGAAAATGAATAAATACTGATCAGTCAAAGAGAACTGTTAATACTGTGGGGGTATGATATAAAGCAGGTGCCCATACCCATTTCTATAATTAATTTTTGTTGGGAGCAAATTTAAAACAATGCATTTTTAATTAATCAGAACACACAAACCCTTAAGATTATTTTATGGTTAAATCAATCTTTATAAAGCTAGAGGAAATTTTCTACAATGGTTCCTTCTCATCTGTGGGGCTGTTTGAGAGCAGTGCTAGGGTTTGCATGTTTCTCTAGAGAAACGTGAGACCTTGATGGAAGGGTAAAGTTGAAGACAACAGAGCTCAAGCAAGCCTTGGAACACTGAAGTCCTGTAAAACACATGTGTTGTCAGTTCATTTCGGACACCTGATGGAATTGGTTTCTAACCATCTGTAATAACTCATGAATTAGTTGGGACCCAGAGATTGTTATAAACTCATTTGACCCAAAAGAGATGAATTAAAAACTTTGCAGACTCTAGATGTATATTTACCTAAAAAGAGGATCACATGATCTCTTTAGAGGTAGATTTCTTTCTTTCTATTTATTTATTTATTTACTTATTCATTCATTCATATGTGCATACAATGTTTGGGTCATTTCTCCCCCCTCCCCCCACCCCCACTCTTACCCCCCCATCCCCTCGATACCCAACAGAAACTATTTTGCCCTTATCTCTAATTTTGTTGAAGAGAGAGTATAAGCAGTAATAGGAAGGAACAGGGTTTTTGCTGGTTGAGATAAGGATAGCTATACAGGGAGTTGACTCACATTAATTTCCTGTGTGTGTGTGTTACCTTCTAGGTTAATTCTTTTTGATCTAACCTTTTCTCTAGTTCCTGGTCCCCTTCTCCTATTGGCTTCAGTTGCTTTTAAGGTGTCTGCTTTAGTTTCTCTGCATTGAGGGCAAAAATGCTAGCTAATTTTTTAGATGTCTTACCTAACCTCATAACTCCCTTGTGTGCACTCGCATTTATCATGTGATCAAAGTCCAATCCCCTTGTTGTGTTTGCCTTTGATTTAATGTCCGCATATAAGGGAGAACATAAGATTTTTGGTCTTTGAGCCAGGCTAACCTCACTCAGAATTATGTTCTCCAGTTCCATCCATTTACTTGCAAATGATAACATTTTGTTCTTCTTCATGGCTGCATAAAATTCCATTGTGTATAAATACCACATTTTCTTAATCCATCCGTCAGTGGTGGGGCATCTTGGCTGTTTCCATAACTTGGCTATTGTGAATAGTGCCGCAATAAACATGGGTGTGAGGTGCCTCTGGAGTAACCTGTGTCACAGTCTTTTGGGTATATCCCCAAGAGTGGTATTGCTGGATCATATGGTAGATCAATGTTTAGATTTTTAAGTAGCCTCCAAGTTTTTTTCCAGAGTGGTTGTACTAGTTTTCATTCCCACCAGCAGTGTAAGAGGGTGCCTTTTTCCCCGCATCCTCACTAGACCTCTTTCTTGTAGTATGTGTTCACCTGGACTCACTGAAGTTCTCTTGAGGCATTTAATCCTCTAATGATATTTCTGGTATTCTAGACACTCCTTTGCTTTTTGGAATATTGGGCAAATTTAAGGAACATTCAACCTGTAGAACCATCCAAAGGTTGTAGCAAAAGTTGTATTATCATTACTTTGACCTCATGTAAACTTTAAATTCTCAAGTGCTTTGCTTTTTCATGCATTAATTTTATGTCACGAGCATTCACCATTTATGACTGATTAACTTGTTATTGCACTCAAATATTGCATTTTATCAGTCACTTTTCCTGTAACACAGAGGTGCAGCATTTTAAAATGTTCTATCAGTTTTCTTTCTTTTTCTCTACTTCAGTCAAATGATTCAGCCTGTATTCATGTATATATCTCACTATTTTTGATTTTGTCTAAGATTATTTCTACTTTGATTTCCTTCATGATTACTTATCTTTTTTTTAATCACTTCCTACACTCTAGGAATGAAGGGGCAATAATTTATATACTAAGCTAAGCTTATGTTTGGCATCCAGACAGCAGAATTTTCAAATAAACCAATAGTTAATTTTCCTTTGTGACAGCCAGCACCCAACTCAGTGGTGGGCAGGAGTTGATCAGTTTTAACTGTGGAGCCCAGCTTTGTTTACATTTGTGCTTGCTTGAAAGTAGAAAGATCTCAAGTAATTCTCGGGCTTTTGTAATTGTACTGATAGGTTCCAGCTAGTGTCCCTCTCTAGGTAGCAATGTCAGTGAGAAGCTTATAAATTACTGTTGCTTTGTTGTAGATAATATGCACTTAAGTGGCTTTCTCACCTTCTTTGTTTTCTCAATATTTGATTCCTCTCTAGATTTATGAATTATGGGACATTTTTTCTCCACAGTCTCTCTCTCCCACTATCCCTTCTTATATTTTCAGATTCCCCTTCTTTACACACAGGGGAGTGTATTTTTAAAGCTTGAATTTATTTTTCCTGCTGTTTCTATTTTCTAGAATATTATAATGGTAATATGCCAACAGCTTTACCTCCTTTTTCTATTCCCTTTTTAATTCTTAGACATTACCTAGAAGTCCCTTTCCATATAATCAGATTTTGAGTAAGAGGAGCACATGGTTAAGGAGAAATTATCTTGTATTTAATAATTATATTGGCCTCTCTAGCTCTTATGAGTTCCTAATGTCACAAAATTAGGATGGCGGTTATTTCTGATAATTCTTGAATCTTGCTTTTGATGAAAAATATTACATATATAGTCTAAATATGTAGGAAAATAGTTTAAAAATCCTTTGAGTATTGTTTGCTATATTGTATAAAGTAAATTTGTAAGGAACATTTATTTATTGCCTTAAGCATTTATATGCTTTACATTTTCATAGCAATTTCATTAAACTGACTGAAAAGCCCCAAAGATTTAAGTTTGTACTGTTCAGAGACAGTCTTTTTTCTGTAACAGTATTCATGCATTTGACCTAGTCTAACAAAGAGATTTATCATTGGCCATTTCTAGCTATTCATTAGTATGTTTCAACTTTACTCTGCTAGTTCTTATAAACTGAGGGACGTTGGATCACTTGAGGGTTATAAACCAAATAAACGATTTTAAGGATGTTGATGTAACTGAAGGGCTAATGTACTGCAGAATGCTGTGGCCACTAATGCAAACAGACAAACCTACAAATCATGGCTAATACCATTCTTACAGCTTTCTTCCCATGACCTTTTAGGACTGCATTGTCATATCTGTCATGGACACTGAGCATGCATATGAATGAGAGGGGATGGCGGTATAATTCATTACTTTATGTCTGAGGACACGTGGTGGTTGATGACTTACATTGGGAGTCCACTGGCATTCATCACCCAAACTTGTTAAGAGTGATATCTGTTTACATAGAGTTCTCTATATACCCGCTCTTATTTTTCATTTTATTCTCAGGACAGCAGAAAACAAATGGGAATAAAGTAAGAGAACCTTGATTCATAGCCTGATTCTGTTAACTGTTAAGTTTTCAACCTTGTAAGAATGTTTACTCTCTCATAACTTCAGTTTCCCCATCTGTAAAATAGAAGTAATAATATTAGCTTCTCATTGTTGTTCAAAGGATTAAATCACAGAGAATAAGTGAAAGTTATTTAGTCTATACAAACATACAAAAATTAAAAATTTTGCTTCTTCCCATTGTCTTGTCAAAACTTCTTCCTTCTGTTACCTATCTTTACCCATTCCCAGCTGAAACCCAGACTGCTTACAGCAAAGCTTAATTTTTTGCTTTGGCAGAGTAGCCCACAAGCAGAGGTAACAAATGGCAGAATCTTTACCTCCTCAGTTATGTTAAGTTGCTGATCCAACTTCTCAGTTAAGTTGCTGATCCAACTTCTGCCTGCCTTTAGTTGTGCCTTAGTAAGAGGTTGAGTATATTTCACTACCTGCCTCACATCCAGGAGAGCAGCATCAGCATTTACCTGTGTGGGTCCCAACCCTTCCCCACCCCTTCTCCTGACTGTATGAACTTTGGGAATCACTCAAGCTCTCTGAGCCTCAGTTTCCTCACATGGACCATAAGGATAATACTCCCCTTTTCAGAGTTGTTTGTCTGAATTTGTCTGGAAAAGTGGTACCTGTGAAGGATCATCATAAGTTCAGCAGGTGATAGATATGGTTAGTAGTGGTAATTAATGATATATGCTACACAGAAATGTTAGATCCTTCTTTCTCATGAGTTTCGGGTTTTTGATAATTAAATCCGTCTTTATAAAAGGAACTGTTGAGATGCTCTTTATAGTTTCTAACCTCTTACCATTTTTTATCCTCTTTATCTTTGTTTACAGTGAAATAAATGGTACACATTCAACATGAATTTCATTTTCCCCAAACATGTTTTCTCTCTCTTGCTCTCTCGCTTACTTGCTCACCTTGCCCATTTGGTCTTTAGCACAGATGGATATTGTTTCACAATGATAGAAGAAGATGATTCTGGCATGCCTGTGGTCACTTCTGGATGTCTAGGACTGGAAGGATCAGATTTTCAGTGTCGGGTAAGGAAGATAACTTGATTTTACTTTGTCACCCTGCATTGGCTACATTTCCAACAAGATTCAAGCAACACACACAAAAGCACCCGTTTTCATGGCTACCCCACTTTTAGTAAGTTGGAAAGTAACTGAAAATTCTGTGGGCCAATTCTTCCTTCATTTTGAAATCAAATTGTTTTTTATTTTTTGCTATTAACTTCTTGCTTAGTTCCCTTTAGATCAGCTTCAAATTCCAACTCAGCTAACTTGCACTAAGCCAAGATTTCTCATCCGTTTACTCCATGTACACTGGCTATTTCAAATGTGGTAGTAATCTTGTTGAGATGTAAAAAAATGCATAATAATTTGAAATTAATTACTTGATAGAAAATAACATTTTCAAGATGTTTGAGTAAAATTATTAGAATTTTGAATGAGGTCTTTGGTGATAACTTACTAAGTTTTAGGTCATATGACATTGAAATCTAGGGGAAACCTATTAATACAGATTTGGGCTCAATTTCAGGACACTCCCATTCCTCATCAAAGAAGATCAATTGAATGCTGCACAGAAAGAAATGAATGTAATAAAGACCTGCATCCCACACTGCCTCCACTGAAAAACAGAGGTAAGAACAGGAAAGAAAAGCACAGACTTAATGAAAACAAACACTTGAACCATTCTCTCTTTTCCAAATTAATCTACCTGTACCATTTTGTACTGTTATATCATAGGGATGAGGCTAGGTGACATCATGAATTTGTCACTCAAACAACTTGTGTTATGTAGTTTGGAGGACAATGATTGTCAGTGGCTTCCCTCTTAAGATCCTTGTTACTTTAGCTTCTTCCCACTTCTCTTCAGAAAGCTACATTTCCTAGATCTTGCAGTGTGTTGCAGGAGGATAAAGGAGGGAGATAGTACTTTATAGTTACTCCTAAAAGTAATTCAGAAGTTGTATTGAACTCAAAAACTACCATTTGTCTACATGCATTTAAAGAGTAAAAGACATTATAAAGGACTAAATAAAAATTATTTGCTCTATAACAGTATTATCAGTGCTAGAGTAACTTTTAGTCAAATTACTTATCAATACATCGATAAATGGGGAAGAGATCTGAAAGTTTTAATTTCAAAGCTTGGACATGTAAGTGTTGCTTCTTAACAAAACACAAATATTGCATCCCACAAGACTTTTTATTAGAAATAGCTCCCATCTTTCCTTTTTCCGCTGTGTTCTCACCACAAATACGTGATTTGTGGTTGTTGTAGAGTATTAAGTCCAAAGTCTTATTATATATGCTTTAAAAAGATTCTTCATGATTGATTTTATTTCTTGAGAAAATCATTCCCACAAAATATAAAGGAATTTCATGGTTTTGGTAATATTTCATATAACTTGTTCTTGCTATAGCCTAAAAAATTCTACAAGATTAATTTGTAAGAATTCATATAAAAAACTCAGTTTTTAAAAAGAATTGTTTTGAAATGCTATCTCAAATATATCACCAACTACAGACTAAACTCTATAGGTAACAGGTATTTAACTAGTGAAACATCCATATTCTCAATACAGATTGAATATCTGATAATATTCAGAATGCAAAGATGAGTCTGAGAATTTACCTTCTGATGTATAAGACCTTTAACATCCTATATGAGTCTGAGCTAAAATCCCAGCCAGAGGATAGTGCTATCATTTATTCAAATGTTTAGCTTCTTACTAGTTAGAATTATCAAGTTAATTTTTTATCCTGAACACTTGTTTTACTCAGAATAACCAGAATATTTTTTGTTCTTATAAAGAATTTATTTCTAGAGTTTAATATTAAAGGAATCCCACCATATGATATAAGTACATGTATATATTACTATTTGTGGGCTAAAATTCTCTGACAAGAATATGCTTTTCAGGTTCTTTGTGCTCTATTTATAGGAAAATGTCTCATATTCATCTGTGACTGTCATCTTTGGAACAGAACACATACAGGTGTTCTTTGAAGGGAAAGTGATATTGCCAAGATTCTTCCTAACTATATGATTTCCCTTTTATTTCATGTTGCAATTATAAAACATCTTCTAGCCTTTTAAAAAGAGTCCTGTTATTTTAAGCAGTTATTATCTACCACTCTGCTTATGAAAGAGTAGGCAGTAGATGAAGAATTCAGTTTGTCACTAAACTCCTGGTGATCCCTCCTCACCTCTTCCAGTTCTCAGTTCCACTTCCCTGAGCAGTTGGAATGACAGAACAGGTAGAAATCTGCTGACTAGGAGAAGCTCAGGCTCTGCTCTTTTCTTGATAGGTATCTGCAAGTGTTTGCTTTTGAGAATGGCAGTGATTTGAATGTTTACATTGTTAATGCTCTGAGCACAGGTAATGGCAAATTAAAACCATGACCAGCTTGACCAGCAGAAACAGAAGGCTTATTGATAATGATCACCTGTTGATGAGGGAAGACAAGGAGTCAGTAGGCACAACTGCAGAAGATAGGGCTGTTTGGGGCAAAGAACAGGAAAATAGAGATGAAATGGTAGCCTTATATAAAATGCTTGGTGGTAAAGAAAGAATCTCTTCATCCTTTCGGTCTCATTGCTCTTATAAATCAGAAATATAATAAAACGAGTAATAACTGTGGTGCACTTGCAGTTCACAGTATATTTTTTATTCTGTGTTTATGTGAAAAGTAAAGGACAGGGAAAGTGGAGAGTTTTGGTAAGGTTTTAACGCTGGAATGATAAAGTATTCTCTATTCATATACTGAAAATACGTTGTAGTTGTATGGTTATATCTAATTTTAGCTGAGCAGCATTCTCTTTGGATTTCTGCGAAATAAGACTTATTATCTTTAAAACTGGAAATACAATAATAACCTATTTCCAGTGGCAGTCTTTCATTATATGTAGAAAATAGAGGAAAGATTTTTCAAAGTTAATTCATTATATAAAATTTTAGCCTCCTTAATTTTAAGAACCTACAAATTATTTTTAAAAATTTGCTGAACAATATGCTTCAGACAGTGCTTGTGTCAATTATACATGATTCCATTTGTGTTGAAGTCAGAATGGCTTTTTGGATGCTTCTTTAGTGGTTGAAGTTCCTAAACTTTTTCTGAAGTACATCTTTGCTTAAAGTGATGTACATTCATATATTCTCTCCTTGGCAACATTTGAGGAATCCTTTTTCTTTATGTCCATCATAAAGTGACTGTGTTTATGAACAATGCATATGGATTCATTTTTATCCAAACTCATGCTATAGAGTGCTCCAAAAACCACAGGGGATTCCATCAATTGAATTTTAGGTAGGTACCCCAACCCATTTACCATTGTCATATTCTTTCCATGGTTTATCCTATGTCAAGCCTATGCCTTCCAGAGAGGAAATGTGTGCTGTTCAAATATATATCTACACGAATGATTTCATCCTAGTCATACATTTAATTCTGAATGTATATGTATTTTTCTCATCAGTTAGCATGCTGAAAATTTTTTCTTATCTATCTTAATATGTAATTCTTAGCAAGAAATTTGGGGAAAGAGTTAATTCCTCGTATTTAAGTAAAAATAGTCTCTGTATTATGGCTTTTTTTTTTTCAGATTTTGTTGATGGACCTATACACCACAAGGCCTTACTTATATCTGTGACTGTTTGTAGCTTGCTCTTGGTCCTTATTATTTTATTCTGTTACTTCAGGTAAGTTTCCAACATGGAAACAAAATACTGTTATTCTCCTACTGTTGCCTTTTGATGTTTTTCATTTGAAGCTTTTTTTGGTCTGATTAGATTCACATTTCACAGAAAATATCTGTACTGTTGACAAATATTTGTTCTTATGAATTTATAAATAGATACCTCATTTCTATTTCAGTCATCAAAACTACTCATATAAATATTTCATCTCTAGGAAAACTAGTGTAGTTGGGGAATTCAGGGACTAGTTACTAGTTAGGTTTGATTTCAAGCAAAGAAATTACTGTATTGAACTTTGAGAGATTTGAGTAATTTCTTCTTTCCTGAGCTAAAACACTCCCCTAATATTAAAAGATTTCAAATATAATTTATAGATTAAACATTAAAATGAGTTATTATACTAACATTTACAGTCACCTAAGAACTTATTTTCCAGTTTGTAAAATATCAAAGACATTTATGGGCACATCATTTGCCTTTTGAGAAACTTAATATTTGTGATACTCTACAAATGGGTCAATTAGTTGATTCAAATAAATTCATTTTCAAATTGAAGGCATTTAACTAACTGAAAGTTTTTACAGTTTCATTTTATTTCATTGGTTATTGTTTTGTACATTATGAGAGAGTTATCTGTCATGTTTTTTTAAACCAAGAATTTTCATCTTTAGTTAGTTAGGGACCTTGAAGGAAAAGATTCTAGAGAATGAATATTGGAGCTATTCAGAAATACTATCAGAATGTAGTCTGCTTGGATCTGTGAGCCTTGAAAGACATAGAGAAGAAAAATTAAAAATGATTGAGACTGAGTAAAAAAACATGAAATTGGTTTTAAAAAATTTAGCAAAATAAATAAATGATTTGCAATCATAATTTGCATAGCGGTAGCAACTACTAAGCATTTGATCTTGTATTTATATGCTAAAATCAAAGCTGTTGTGACTACTATTTAGATGCTATGTTTACCCCGTCATTGCATTTAAGTTTCTAAAATTACCTCCATTGTCCATCCTTAGGTATAAAAGACAAGAAGCCAGACCGCGGTACAGCATTGGGCTAGAGCAGGATGAAACTTACATTCCTCCTGGAGAATCTCTGAGAGACTTAATTGAGCAGTCTCAGAGCTCAGGAAGTGGATCAGGCCTCCCTCTGCTGGTATGAAAAGAACATGACTTGAATAGAAAAGGAAACGTCTATTGAAAGGAAATGTCAATAAATACATACAAGGGTTTCATTTTACTGAAATAGATAGGCGGTGGATAAGGAGAAAGATCCATGCAGTCACTTGGACATCAGATCTTAGATACAGGGCTTCCTGATAACATTTTGACATATTGAGGGTAAGGTGATTGTTTTTTAATGTAGTGTATGGTTACAGCCTGGACCCTCAGACATTCTGATAAAGAGAAGATTAGAAAATGTTAAACGTGGGGCCATCTTCCCTCTGTTTTCGGTGAGTATAGCATTACTGCACTTTGGCCTGGCTTTTGAAGACAAAAGTATGACATCCAACTGGGATCTGCGTACTTTACAAAGGAAAAGGGCTACGTTTCAGCTGCAGGGCTTATGTTTCAGGTTGAAGTCCCAGCTTTTCCATTCAGTAGAGGTCTCATTTTCTGATGGTCAGTACTGTTGACCTCGATGAGAATATATTCCAAACCCAAAGCATGTGCTTTAATAAGAAAAGTGTTTGATTCTTTTATGGACTTTGAAAAAAGATGGTTGGGATTCAAGAAGGAAATAATGTTAATGAAAAATGCATTCCTTAATAAACTCATAAGATTGATTTTCCTAGACTTCATGGTCTGGTTCTGACTTTGGATAGCCTGTTTACTTCATTCATCTGATGACCTTTTATTTAATAAGCAGGAATTTTAAAACCAGGCAGAAAAACAACTTATGCAGCTGTTTTAATCATTGTGATCCAAACGATGGTGCTTAAGATTTAAAAAATATTTTTGTATAAATTCTAATGATAGCTTGGTTTCTTTATTTTAGAATTTAATTAAATGTGTTGTAAATATAACTTATATTTGTAACACTGTAGCACTTTATCTATCTGTCTATCTACCTACCTACCTATCTATCTATCATCTACCTATCTGTATATATGTATATAGATAGATTTTTGGGAGGAATATTGGGGTTTAAACTCAGGGCCTTGTACTTGCTAGGCAGGTGTTTTACCACTTGTGCCATACCCAGCTCAAAGTAGCATTATACTTTATTTTAAAGGAAAAGTACAAACAGTAAATTCCCATTTGCTATTAATGAATTAAATGCTCCTGCTGCTGTTGTGGGAATCCATACTACACCTTAATATTAATTTGTTACTTATTTCACTAACACAGTGGGAAAATTCATGCTTGATATATATTGATATGTACCTGATATGTACGTGGACTTAGTGATTTTTTTTTTCATAAAATATCAATTTCCTTCTTCCTCAAAAATCAGTAATATCATAGAGTTGTAAGAGTTCAGATAGTGGATATTTTTGTTCTCTGTGTGTGTTTGACATGTATACATACATAATAATACCTAGCATATTTTTAATATATACACAGTATTCATTTAATAAATACTAACATGTCATTTATGCTTTATTTATTTCACCTTTTTAAGGAACAAAGGATAATTTCTTTAACTGAATATTAAATGTAAGCGAGTAATCTTTTGTGAAAAATCTTTGTCATGTGGTTTTTTAATTTGTCTTTTTGCAGTGTTGGGGATTGAACTCAGGGTCTCATTCTTCCTAGGCAAGTGCTTTACTAATTGAGCCAAACCTCCAGCCCTTTTTGCTATAGTTATTTTTTAGATAAGAACCTTGAGTCTTGCATTTGCAGTTTTTGCCCAGGGCCTTCCTTGTACTATGAGGCATGTGCCACCACTCTTCGCTTGTTTGTTGAAATAGGGTCTCACTACCATTTTGCCTGTGCTAATCAGGAAGCAGGAACTTCCAGATCACTTCCCAAGTAGCTGCAATTACAGGCATGAGCCACTGCACCTGGCCTCCTCATGTATTTTTAATTCAAACTTATTAAACAAAGTACTTCAAGTTTATATTTGTGTATAGAGGTGTGATTGTGTGTGTGTGTGTGTGTGTGTGTGTGTGCTAATTCACTGATACAGTAGAGAATATAGAGCAAATTATTTCCAGCTACTGCTTTCTACTCTCCAGATATTTTCAGGACTTACATATTAGAGAGCAACAGATATCAACCACTAAATAAAGGTGACAGTCCTGGAATAGTGATAACTTCTTATAAAACCTAATCCATTGTCTTGTATTTAGTGCACATGAGGCAGTTTTTGTCATTTTACCATCACAGTTACAGCAACTATATGTTACAGACATACATCACTCAGCTTTTCATTACACAACAAATACCTGAGATAATCAACTCACGGAAAGGAAAGATTTACTGTGGCTCACAGTTTTAGCTTTAGTCTGTGACATTGGGTTGGCCCCCTTGTTTTTGGCTTGTGGCAGCAATCATGGAGTCTGAGCTCACATGTTTCCTCAGCTCTTTTTCCTCAAATGAGCCAAAGTCCTCCGAGGAGACCCCGCCTTTTACAGTCTCCACCTCCTTCCGGTAGCACCTAGTTGGAAACTAAGCCTTTGGACCTTTGGGCATTTAAGTTCCAAAACTATAGCAAACCGCTATAAATTTCATTCATACAAATTTTTAAAAATTTATGTCTTAAGAATATTATGTTAAATGAAAATTTACATACAGAAAGATCAGAAATGTTTGCTGAATCAAAAAGTTTAAATCAGTTTTAAAGTTTTTCAGGTCCTATTTTCAGTTCTTTAGATGTTATCATCTCAAAGTACAAGTATGCTTTTAATTTCTTTTTTAAAATTTTTTATTATGCTGTGTTCATTATACAAGAGGGGATTTGTAATGACAATTCTGATTAGGCTTGTATCGTACGTTAGTTTCATTGCCCCATCATCTGTCCCTACTTCCCTCCCCACCCCACTTAAAACAATTGCAAGTGGTTTCTTTATTATATAGTGACACATTATCTTTTGATAGGTTGTTCCTAGTCTATTGAAGATTGCAATGCTGCCAGTACTTTAATTAAAGAAGATACATTATCATTAGAAAAGAAACAGATGCAAAACTATTTATGGTAGGAAATGTGATACAGATTTACATGAGCAATGCTTGGTAACATCTGTAAATTGAAATACAATATATCTTTAATAAATGGGGACATTTCCTCTCAAGGGAGTAATTTAACTACTTGTGTATTTGGCTCCCAGCTGCTTAGTACTCTTGATGTTTCTGTCACCTTTTTGGGGACAGAACTATACTGGAGGTCACTTCATATAGCATGTGTGACTCCTGAAGGGAGGAAGGCCACTGTGCATAGAGTAACTTGCTTATTTCCATCTGACTTCATGACTTCATAGCATATCAGTCAGGCTTTTATTTTGTCATCATTCTTTTAAGAAAAAAAAAAGACTATCTTTTTCTAAAAGGCTTTCAATCTGTTAATTAGTGCCCATTAATAGTTCTGGCAATTGGTATGGTTCTTGAATTGATAAAAATCATTCATTACGGGAAAACAGAACCAGCTTTAGTTGGTAGACATCTGTGGTAGTCAGAATAACGCCCCCCTCCCCGCGCTCCATGTCCATGTCCTAATCCTTAGAATCTGTTATGTTGTAGGGCAGGGTAGACTGACAACTGCTAAGTATCTGACTAAGATGACCTTGTTCTGGAGTACCTGGTTTGGCTTAGTGTAATTGCACAGTTCTTAAAAATGAAAAAGCAAAAAGAAAAACTAAGTTAAAAAAAGGACATCTCTCTACAAAGCATACATTCCAGTCTTCTGACAGTATGTTACTAGAGTTCTAAGATAGTGTTGCTATCATTTTTTAAAAATTATTCATTTATTCACATGTGCATACATGTTTGGGTCATTTCTTCCCCCTGTCCCCCTCCTTCGCCTTCCCCCCAGCCCCCTCTCAGTTCCAGGCAGGTCCTGTTCTGCCTTTATCCCTAATTTTGTTGAACAAAATCACAAGCATAATAAGGAAGACAAAGCATTTTTGCTAGCTGAGTTAGGGATAGCTATACAGAAATATTCCTAGCATTGTTTTCATGTACACATGTGTTACGACCCATGTTGATTCAGCTCTTACGACCCATGTTGATTCATCTCTAACTGATCTTTACACTGGTTACTGATCCCCTTCTCATGATAACCTCTGTCGCTTTAAGGTTTCTGTATTAGTTCCTCTGGAGTGGGGACATCAAACGCTTTCATTTTTTTTGGGTTTTCTACCTATTTCTATAGCTCCCATATGTGCTCTCCCCTTGTCATGTGATCCAAGTCCAACTACATTGCTGCATTTGCCCTAGATCTAAAGTCTGCATATGAGGGAGAACATACGATTTTTGGTCTTCTGAGCCTGGATGACCTCACTCAGAATGATGTTCTCCAGTTCCATCCATTTACCTGCAAATGATAAGATTTCATTCTTCTTCATGGCTGAGTATAATTATCAGTAGTGGGGCACCTTGGCTGTTTCCATAACTTGGCTATTGTGAATAGCACTGCAATAAACATGGGCGTGCAGGTGCCTCTGGAGTAACCTGTGTTGCATTCCCTTGGGTATATCCCCAGGAGTGGGATTGCTAGATCATATGGTAGATCTATGTTTAGATTTTTAAGAAGTCTCCAAAATTTTTTTCCAGAGTAGTTGCACCAGCTTGCATTCCCACCAAGAGTGGACTAGGGTTCCTTTTTCCCCACCTCCTAGCCAACACATGGTGGTGGTGTTTTTGATGATGGCTATTCTAACAGGGGTAAGGTGGAATCTTAGTGTAGTTTTGATTTGCATTTCCTTCATGGTTAGAGATGGTGAGCAAATATCCTTATTTGCAGACAATATGGTCCTATACCTTAAAGACCCAAAAAACTCTACCCAAAAACTCTTAGACACCATAAACAGCTACAGTAAGGTGGCAGGATACAAAACCAACTTACAAAAATCATTAGCTTTTTTATACACCAACAACGAACAAGCTGAGAAGGAATATATGGAAACAATTCCATTCACAATAGCCTCAAAAAATATCAAATACCTAGGAGTAAACTTAACAAAGGATGTGAATGACAAGGAGAGTTGTCATTGTTTTGAGACAGGGTCTCAACTATATAGCTCAAGCTGGCCTTAAATTCAGTGTCCTCTCTCTTCCTCCTGCCTGCTGGGATTACAGTGGTGCCCCACATCCTACTATGCTAGGTTCTTTATGTTTGTCTTGTAGATTATGTAAATTACTACAGATATTTAGCCCTTTCAGTCATGGAACCATTAATAAAGCACAAATCCGTAAGTATCATGTATGTAGAGACATTTAACCTTGATACCGTTTAACTCTCATATTTTTTTCTTTGTGTCTATGGTACTCTGTAATTCTTCAGAGTTGTTTTATAGCTTACTACATAACTTTCTAGCTTGTTAACTTTCTCTTACTAACTTTTCTCTCTAATCCACTGTTTTGCCTATTCATTTTGTATTTTTTGTTATGACAACTGTTCTACTTCAAAAGTATAATTTTCAGTAATCTATTCCTGCTTGCTTATTTTTCATTTGCTCTATATCTTAAATATTTTGTGTATTTATTTGGGATTCTATGTTTGAAAATTCAGTGCATAATCTGAAGGAGTTAAATCCTTTGGTGTTGATAGTGTTGATTCTCATAGTGACGGTTTCCTTTTGTTTTAAGGAATTTATCCTATAGGATCTTCTTTCTTTTTCTCCCTCCATTTTCTTTGTTCCCTTTTTTTCTTTTCCCCTTAGAGATTTTTTTTCTATTTCTTTGTGATTTCAACAGTTTCTTTCTTATGTTTTACCCATGATTAAGTTGTGTAATGGCAAGAGTTCCATCAAAGAACTGTTGTCACACCATAGTGTAGAGTGGAAAGTACTCTGCAAATGATTTCTTCAAGAGAGGATTTGTGTTTGTTTTTGCTGAGTGCCATGGCATGCTATTGACCTAGAGCAAATTTAGTACTATTTGGTGGTCCAGCTTTAGGCTGAAGTCCTTGGCTAAGTTTCTCTACTTTCAAAGGGATCAAAGTTTAGATTCTGAATCCCAGTGCTGGTATTATTCTCTGCCCAGACAGCACCCTGCCTTTTGTATGTGCTTGATGCTTACCCTGCTCTGGGCTCAACTCCTTCTCTTCTACACTCTTGTCTTCCCCTTCCCTCTCTGAATTCTTGTCCTATCCTGTCTTCTCTTCGCTTTTCTTCTCTTCTCTTCTCTTCTCTTCTCTTGTTGCTTTCTTTCTCCTGCTCTGAGATTTTCATTTCCTGTTTGTCCAATAATGTGTTACAATTTTGTTTTGTTTTGACTAGTTACATGTTGGCAAGAGTTCCTTCAGAGTATCTAATAAAACATTATAGTTATGGAAGTGAAAGTATTCTGTTCTGCCAGTTACTGGGAACACATTCAGATTTTTTCTCTATGAAAATTGTAATAGGGGGAATCAATTATTTGATAATTTGAAAGTGATATTTGAGAATTCAGAATCAACAGCCAATCTCAAATATGTTTAAAAGAACAACATAAATTAATACAAATAACATCCGTATGAAGAAAAATACTTACTAAATATATTTTGCATGAAGTAATTATTTCTTCTATGGATTAAAAAAAAAGATGAAACAAATCTGTAGTGCTGCAAATACACTAACAGAGTGTTTTGGGATTTTACAGGTCCAAAGGACTATAGCTAAGCAGATTCAGATGGTGAAACAGATTGGAAAAGGTCGCTATGGGGAAGTTTGGATGGGAAAGTGGCGTGGCGAAAAGGTAGCTGTGAAAGTGTTCTTCACCACGGAGGAAGCCAGCTGGTTCAGAGAGACAGAAATATATCAGACAGTGTTGATGAGGCATGAAAACATTTTGGGTGAGTAGAGTCTGTATAGCATTGTTCAGGGTTTCCTAGCTTTCCTCTCTTTCTGTTAACATGTGCATATTAACTCATCTGTCTAGACCTGTTAGGAAACAGAATTTTCTTCTTGGCAGGGGCCCAAGAATCTCATGCATCTAATAGAAGACCTCACAGGAGGAATGACGAAGGCACTTCACTGAATGGATGCTGGGCTAGAAATGGAACACTCTGAAATGCTTATGCTTTAGAAACAGGAAATGTAAATGTAATAGGATTTCTTGGGGGATTTGAAGGAGCATATTTTTGTTTAATTGTTTTGAGAGTTACAGGCATTTTTATTTGCAGGGTTGATGTACATCAAGAGTTTATGTTGAGAATTGTTTACTTTTACTTTTCTGAGGCTAGACATGATCTGTTCAGATCATTCAAGTAGAAGGAACAGAAGCCAATCAGAGAGGTGTATGCCTTGACTCAAGCCTTTGTTTTGTAAACAATGTCTTATGTGTAACTATAATATCACAAAGCAATTTAAATGTCAATTTCTGATCAGAAAGATCATGGTTTTAGATTCAGACTCTTAATCTATCTCTGTCCCTAAAATTTTGATTACCTCTGATTGGAATTAGTAATTTAATACTGTCATAGGGGCATAATCGGAAAACTAAGTGAAATGCTAAACAAAAGACATCTATGGACAAAGAATGGTATTTGAGAATGTGAACTCTTCCTGAGTCTGTTCAGAAGACACCTCCACTCCATTTTATCTTTTTTCCTTTTAGGGTTCATTGCTGCAGATATCAAAGGAACTGGATCCTGGACCCAGTTATACCTCATCACAGACTATCATGAAAGTGGCTCCCTGTATGACTATCTGAAATCTACCACCCTAGACACTAAATCCATGCTGAGGCTGGCTTACTCTTCTGTCAGTGGCTTATGTCACTTACACACTGAAATCTTTAGTACTCAAGGCAAACCAGCAATTGCCCATCGAGACCTGAAAAGTAAGAACATCTTGGTGAAGAAAAATGGAACTTGCTGTATAGCTGACCTGGGCCTGGCTGTTAAATTTATTAGGTCAGTATCAAAGTGAACAAATATACTGTTTATGATTCTTTTCTATCACTTTATAGATTCTATATTCTGTAGCTCTGTGCACTTCTAAGTTATTTAAATAGAGGAAAAATTTCATTGGTTCCAGCTTTGTTTGAGGGAAAAATACTACCGATATTTTCTTTGTAATACCATGTGTGGGTCAGTCCTCTTGTTTCTGTGCTCCTCAGTGATCTGTGATCTGACTTAGGAACTATTAGGTTTGCAGCTCTCATGAAGCGATCTGAAAAGAGATAGTTATTAATGCCTGGTAACCTGTGGTCAGAATTCTGCATAATATCTGTAAGTAGGAAGGAGTTTTAGGAAAGGTGTACTGGTTATATAGTGATAAAGGCAATGTTTTTTATGTGGTATAGGAAAGATTACTCATATAGGTGTTTTATGACAAATATTAGAAATTAATAAAATGCAGCTGGTATTCAGCACTATTTTACTATGGTTTAAACAGTAAGTAAAATCCTGGGCACATAAACCAGAATAGGTTGTATGTGAGTTCCTTGGAGTGACATGGGTAGCTTCTGCGCTGTGAGAAGGGTTCAGGCCCAGTAGTTACAACTCTGATTTTCCATACCTTCTCTGTAATAAGAGTAGCACCTTTTATCTCCAGTGTGATTTAATGAGAGTAAATAGTTCTTCTATTTTGAAAACAAAACAAAAAAATGAGTTTTTAAACCACTGGTGTAGAGGGATCTTCATGTAACTCCCTTTCAATTTAGCTTTAGCCTTTATTACATCATTGGATCCTCTTGTGGATTTTTTCCAAAGAAGACTCCATAACATGTGGACAAGGGCACAAAGGAAAAGCCACAGAGATAATTAAATGCTTGGAAAACAAAACCTATGAGAAAGGACTAATGAGTTGGTATATTTACCTGCAAATAAAGGCTGAGGTATTATTTAAAAATGGACCCTAAATATATGAAGTTCATCACCATTTAGAGATAGCAGATTGATGTTCTTGAACTTTAAAAACAAAGCAGGGGAGGTAAACTAGGCTATGAATTTAAGCTAGAAATATGAACCTCCTGCCAAAAAGGATTATTAAATAATCCCCTCTCTCTTCTGAATTCTTTCTTATAACCTGCAATGCTTTCAAGTCTCTTCTCCAAAAAGAAAAAAAAAATGATCCCATGATACTTCTCAGATTACTAGCCTCTACCTCCTTTCCTGCCTTTTAATAATTTCCAAAGAACAATCTGCTTTCCTGTCTTAGTGATTCGTATTGTCTTGTAACTTGGCTTCTGCTCCATCCTCTCCTGATACTATTTTATTGAGAGAACCTCTAGTGTAAAAGGAAAATGAGTTTTCAAATCACTGATGCAGAGGGATTCTCATACAGCTATCATTTTAAAAAGTCAATTAAGCTCAGCCTTTATTACATCACAGGACCCTCTTGTGGATTTTTTCAAAGAAGATTGTAGCAAGTGGACAAGAGCACCAGAGGTCTCATCCCACTGCCATCCCACTGGCCATAGTGCCCAAGCCATTCTACCTTCTTCTCATGATGTGGGGTTTTTTTTTAATTTCCTTTCTTCATATGTGCATACAATGATTGGGTCATTATTTCCCCCTTCCCGCCCTTCCCCCCCCCCACCCCCTCGCTTCCAAGCAGATTCTGTTTTGCTCTTATCTCTAATTTTGTTGAAGAGAGAGTATAAACGTTAATAAGGAGGACCAGGGGTTTTGCTAGTTGAGGTAAGGATAGCTATACAGGGAGATTCTTGATGTGTTTTTATATTCCACATTTCTTCTCTTTTCACTGGTTCTTCTCTCTTTGGCCTATTAAATGTTTTCCCCCTGTGAGATTTCCTGCTATCTGCTTTCCCTTCTAGTTCCTACTTTTATTGATCCATTTGAAAACATGAGATTTATAACATCTTCCTTTGTTCCCCAGTTCTTGATTTACTCAATTGAATGCATTTTGTTTTCATGATATTCCCACTTATATGGCTCATTGAGCCCTCTATACCATTTTTCTAGATTCTGGGCACTTTGCAGGTACATCTTCATCTTTCTACTTTCCAGTCTTTTCTACATGCTGCTGCAGGATTCATTTTCTTGAAGAATAACTTTGGACATTGTCATAATTTCATAGTTTTCTGGTGACTTTGGGTTCAAATGTAGTTACAGTCCCGTGACGCAGTGGTTCTTTCTTTTCTGACCCTGGTCTATTCTTTAGCCCAATCCCCACAATACTACTTACCTTTTGCTACATTTTTTTCTGAATACTTTGTATTTCTCACACCCTTAAGTGTTTTAAACATGCTTTTGTTGTTACCTAAACATGCACACAACCCTTCTGTATCTAAACTACTATAGACCTTCACACTCTCCACAAACAGATATCTCCTGTTGGTATTCTCTTACAAATCTGGTTTTCAGTCTTCTTACATCCTTCAAGTGACCTGTACATATTATCATGCATTTCTTGCACTGTTTTATAGTGGTCATTGATTCATATCTGTCCTTCTTTATGTCTTGAAGGTAGATAATGTGTATTTTTCAAATTTGCATCCCCAGTGTCTTTCTAGTGATTACTGTTGCTTAAAATTTTTATATAATGGATAAATGAATGATTACAAATGGACTACAGAAGGAAGGAAAAAAACCCATCTTATCCTAGTTCCAGAGATTCTACACATTCTGGCTCAAATCCACCCTTATTAGTTTTATATTTTACAAAATTTTGCAATTTGTGTGCTTCATTTCACAAAATGGAACTACTTGTGTTTTCTGTTTATATTGATAAGCAACTGCCTTCCTTTTGATTGCATCATCTCTACCTTGGAACATCCCTGCTTCTCTATGAACCTTAATTCAATCTCAGAGGTGCCTCTATATCACTGTATTCATCCCCAGTTAGAAATAATGATACTCTCCTCTGTATTCCTGTAGTAATTTCCTGGCCTTTGTCTTCCTCATATTATAATTATAATTATTATAATATAATTATCCTTCAGGTATTTGGGTGTCTTGAGATCAAGATGCATGTCAAATTCAACAACATACTTCCCATTTGATAGTGAGTTACCTAAATCAATAATTGATACCACATCTTCTTTACTGACCTTAAAACAAAGAAAATAAGTATCTACTATATTTCTGAAACTTAGTTCTGCTTAATGTAAGGAGAGTGAATTGAATGGCCTTTCAAATCTCATATAGACCCTTATTCTGAGAAGGGGGTTACTGCTTAAAGGGATAACTCAGTGTCATTTGGTATACATAGGCTGGATCATCAAGGGAGGAAATAGTTGAGGATGCTGGCTCAGGTGCTGGTTGCATAGAGTCAAATAGCTGGGGACCATTTGCCTTTCTGGGTCTCAGTTTCCTCTTCCATTAAATAGGAAGTTGAATTTGATAACTTCAGAGAATCTTTTCATATTTCTATTTGTATGTGTCAAAGTTTGTACTTCAAACTCGGTTTATATGTTTCTTTGATTTCCTATTTCATTTTGTGTATGTGTGGGGAGGGGTACACACATTTGCAGATGTTTAGAGAGTTTTATTGCAAGTGGAGTAGTAGTTAATCCAGTACTGAATTTTTAGACTTCATATATGAACTTCCTGTGAGAACTTAATCTTTACTCTAGTGTCTACATGGTGGAGTGTTACTGTTAGGCTTTTAAGTCATGTCTGGGAGGTTCCCAGGGAAGTTGAGAGCCACAAAAAGACCTGATGGTGCCTCGGAGATTTCCTGCTCAAATAACTTTTTTCCTTGTATTGGTTCCTTTGTGCATTCCTTAAAAAATGATGTCAGTGCTGATGTATTTCCTGCTCAACTGAGATTTAATTCAGGTGATGTCCTGGCAGACATCACCATTACTCTGATTTCCCTCGGGAGGAGAAAACAATGACACACATGAAGTGCTTTGAAGGAACTTACACAGCTTTTCATGTTTCACTCTGGAGGATAAAGTAACCTCTCTGGTACTTGGAGTGTCAGAATAAAGTAGTTTCTTTGGGAGAAAAGAAATAGATCAGGGCCTCTCAGCTATTAAATTTTAAATAGAAAACGTACAGTGAAGACTAGGCTGTTGCATGAATCTCCTAATGGATGATTTTAAAATTGCCCAAATACAGATGAACTGAGTGGCCCAGCCCAGTGGGTACTGAATTTCCTGAGTTCTTCTGATGTCATTTTCTGCACTGCCTTTGGTCTATATATTTACTGTTGGGTTTTTTTTTTTTTTTAAGTGACAAGGCTAAATGACTCACTTAAGTCACGGAACTAAGCTCATTAGACCCAGCCAAGGTTGCTGCAGCCATATCCACTTTATACTTAAAAGTTCTGAGTTCTGAAGATTTGTTTCTAAGAGTTCTTGGTTTTAAAGCATAGCAGCACTGAACTCTGGTGAAAAGTGCTGCAGAAACCTTACCCCATTGGTGAGCATATGACTGGGAAGAGTTCAGTAGAGCAAATTGGTTTCACCGTCGAAGACAGGAACCTACAGAAAACACAGGGTGCGCACAGCTCTTCATAAACTCTTGAGAATCTTTCACACTTTTGGAGGGTAGTTCTAGATTTTTAAGATGACTTAATACTCCTGTGTGTAGTTAGTTTCAAACATCAGTTACAAGTCGCAAGCAAACCAATGGCCTCTCTAATGTCTTCTTGTCCCCACTTAGCCTTTTATGGTACAGTTCTTATTTTTCTTAGATAACTGAAAGTATAAAGTGTTTGTTTCTAATGTCTTTCTCTTTCTATATCCATTTTACCTTCTTTTTCACTCTTCCCCTCTTTTTTCTCTGTTTTAAGCATCAAAAACTTCCAGGAGAAGGACCACCCACAGGAGCCAAAGGCTCAGTGTGGTGACGCCCCCTGCTATAGCTCACCACCCTCTTCTCTTCCCAGCTCTCCTCTCACTGCCCCAGTAGACTCTGCAGTCCCCTTCCTGAAACTCTTATCCAGTGTGTGGTACAGTGAGGAATGTGCACTGTTCTCAACCAGCTGTGGGGTTTTC